ACAGTGCCTCACCACTCTGAGTAAATAATTTCTTCCTAATATCTAAATCTAAATCTCCCCTCTTTCAGTTTAAAACCATTACCCCTCATCCTATCACTACACTCCCTGATAAAAGAGTCCCTCCCCAGCTTTCCTGTAGCCCCTTTAGGTACTGGAAGGGGCTTTAAGGTCTCCCCGGAGCCTTCTCTTCTCCAAGCAGAACAACCCCAACTCTCTCAGCCTCTCCTCACAGCAGAGGTGCTCCAGCCCTTGGAACGTCTTTGTGGCCCTCCTCTGGACCCACTCCAACAGGTCCATGTCCTTGTGCTGAGGACTCCAAAGCTGGACTCGGGTGGGTACATGATACCTGCATTGTATCGGTATTATCATGCTCAATGGTAGTTAAATGCCTTTAATTCCATTTTTGCTATTTGTACCGCTGGAAAGGCTGTGAGGGTAGATCTATGGGGCATCAGTTAATTTTGATGGGGGAACTGGGTACCTCTTCTGCTACCTGCTGTATAACCTCCATTATAGATCCAGCCTTGCCCAAAGAATGAACTTGGCTGAGATGTAAATGGTTTCGCTTCTCAGGGGGAGGAGAGGGTCCTGGCTCCCGGACCCGAGGGATGAGCACATGGCGGTGCCCGCGAGTAGACCTGGCACAAGGTGGGGTCAGCGCCGGTATCGCGTCTGGAGCCGACTGTCAGGAAAGCTGCTCCTGATGGTGGTGTAGAGCTTGAAGCAGTGCCGGCAGCAGTATTGGAGTCACCTGCCATAAATCTGAGCCAAAGTCCCAGAGTCGGGGGGATGTCTGAAAAATGTCATCATTGTCATTTTGTCCCATCCCAAACCTTTTTGGGGATTTACTACATGAGATTGCCCCCTGCGCAGCAGTGCTGGGTGGTGGTCGGGGTCGCTCTGGGGTGATGCCACTGGCAGCTCCTTGTGGTGTTGGGGGGGTCGGGTGGAGGATACAAGAGATGCTCGAGTGGAAAAGAGCTCTCTGGACAGCGGGAATAAATGGAAAGAAGGGGCAGGAACTGCACTGGCAGTGTGGATGGGCCCCAGGTGGGGAATGTGTGGCTGTTCCAAACTGTGTGCTGTTTCGGAGGGGCTGCTGGCGGCCGTGGGGGTCACCACTATCCACAGAGGGGGAAACGGTGACATTTTGTGGCATCCCCAACCCTGTGCAGGTGCTGGCTGCTGCCAAAGCCCCACCTGAGCTACAACAGTATCTGTCAGGGCGGGTTCTCGGTGCTGCTGCCTCGGCAACACAGATTGAACCAGGGGTTTCTTCAGGAATTCAACCTGAGGAACAGATGTTTCTGAGGAGCACCAGGGGTGAGCCCGAGCCTGTCCTGTGGACCTTGGCATTGCTGCGGGCAGCCTCCTGCTCCTTAGCACCCAATCTGTGTAAGCGAGCGTTAATTTTAGTTATTTCAAGTTACATGCGTTAGAAGTAAATACTATTTTTGTGACTTTGTTTCCTGCTGCGGAGGGTTTGCTGCCCCTCTGGCCGGTGCCGGAGAGCACAGGCGATGGGGTGAGCAGGGCTCTGTGCGCGCCAGCGCTGAATCCCGAGGGCTCTCTGAAGGACGGGCGTTTCAGGGAGAATGTACAGTGTCTCTTGCAGTCGGGCTCCCTGGCAGTGGAGGAGCGGGTCCCTCCCGGAAACCTGGGCCAGCTGTGCACACATCTGGACAGAGCGTCTGGCAGAGGTCGCTACAGTAAGGACCCCCCCGGGCACTGTGCCCTCCTGAAAAGACCACTGCAACGCTTCATTTTGAAAATGCTTTAATAAGGAAGTGTTGACAACACCGTTTTGCAAAATGTAAAGGTAACTATACAAATTCTTAATACAAAAAGAATAAATTAAAAGCAGATCTTTTTAATTCTGCAACTTTTTCTACAACATACATATTTTTTCCTTGATTACAGTTGAACAGAATCCAGTAAAATCATTTTCCATGCTCTAAAGTCAATTTCAGGAGAGACCTAATTTTTTTTCTTCTTTTTTTTTTTCCTTTTTTTTAAACTAGAGAGTCCATTTTACACAACTTGTAATAAAACTATTGACATTAATATATATGTAAAACTTTACATCTAGTTAACTAAGCAGTAACTGGTCATCTGATAGCACCTGAATGGGGGATCGGCTATGCCTGAAACTAAAACTAATACAGAGTGAAAACAAATTGGACTGTTTCAACATTTTTCAACACTCGACTGCATATAATATCATTTAAAAATAAACCCTGCCTCCCAGCGCCGCCCGGTGCACAGACCGTACACCCGGCTCCTGGCTGAGCAGAGGGAGCGTCAGACGTGTAGACTAAGAACGTGATTGTGGCTTTATGTCAGATGGAGCCTTGAAAAATAAAAAAAAGTAAAGGAGGGGTTAAGTTGGTAGTCAAGTGCTTGTATATAATAGCTATGTATATACCCCTCCGCGTTATACTTAAATATGTTAATCTCATATGATTAACATTTTATGTACATTTGTGTTTAATTGAATTGAGCTAAACAGTAAAACCTGTTTTACTTAATCTGTCTTTACTACCAGACTGGCTGCTCACGTGTGCCTTGATTGCAAAACAGAAAAGCAGAACTCAAAGCAAAACTCGATCCGTTTCTAGAAAGCTTTTTCTCTACTCCAGCCTGTTTGCAATTCAGGCTAACCATTTATTTTTTTTTCTCCTAATTTCAGGGCTGCCACCTTTTAACCTTTGCTGCAAAACTGCAGATCTGGTCTTGGAGGAATTAATGTTTCTTCCTGTAGTGCCCAGAGGCCTCATAGTGCCGCTGTTGTTGAATTCTTTTTAATTAAAAGAAGGTACACAGAAAAAAAAACAAACCACCAACCCAAAACCACTTACCAGGGAAATTAAAAAGAAAACAGACAGTTGCTCAGAGCCCCTAAAAATCCGTGGGCTAAATTACTTGCTGCTGCTTAATTTCGTCCTTATTTAATCCTTTCACTTTAGCTACCGAATCTTATCAGTAAATGTCACTAATCGGTACTATCTCTCATCCAGCTAAAAATCCAATTAGGAGCTTGAACCAATTCCCATGTTAAAGACCCCAAAGCACAAAGAGATGGTGAAAACAGCATTTTGCACATCCAGATAAAGAGTGCAATCTCACCGCTGTCTGTTCTTCCAGCAATCGCTTACGAGGCTTTGGTTACTGTCAAAGGGGGCTGTACTCCTGCGGTGATTCTTCATGGAGGTCCAGAAGTGTGCGGCTTGCATGGCTCGCTCTAAAAACCCCTTGCCAGTATAAAAAATTATGGGTTTTTTTCTTTTTTTTTTTTTTTTTTTCCAGAGGGATAATTCATTTATGCTTCATGTGTGAACATGAAAGAGTTTCCTTCCTGGCTCTGCTGCAGATTTCCCTGGACAAAGACCGGCCTTTGCTGCCCACCGCTGTCCTCGTCCCTGCAAGGCCACCTCCCCCGCCTTTCCAGTGATGCGAGACAGCGGCACAGCAGGCAAAGCAAAGCGCAGAGAGCTGAAGCAAACACTGCTAATGCGTGTTGCAGAAAGGTATTTGCATGTGCTGCTTGCATTAAGTTTTAGAAACCCCGTCATCTTTCCAAGCCTAATTACGAAGAACCCATTCTCTTTTAAAGCCTGGAATGCAGTTTTCCAGCAATCTTAATACCAAAAGGTGTGGCAGCCCCCCAAGTCGCGGTGTTTAATTTTCAACGTTTCGCCCTACTTTGTCTGGTAGACACTATTGTTATTCTTGGAACACGCACACGCACACACACTCGCACTTTTTTTTTTATTCTTCTTTTTTCCTTTAACTAAAGCTAACTTCAGTTTCTGCTTTTCACAAAGTAACCCCCTCCAGCCGTTTCTTTTAATGCCTTTCCCATAGGAAATCATCGTTTCCACGCACAAACGGGGGAAGGCCGGGTACCTCCCCCCATCTAGTGGCAATAAAAACAGCATAGCACCGCAGTGAAGCCTAGACGTGCCAGCTTCAACATCCACCTAGATTGTGCACTTGTTTGTTACAAAAGTGTCTTTGAGGCCTTTTTAAAGTTCCATGGCTTGACGTGTATAAAGCATTGCTCAAGAGTAAGTGTAAACTTGCAGCTCCTTCCATGACGCTCTCGGACGATTCCTTTTGGTATCAGCCGGCAGCTCTTGCTTGTGTCCAACACCAAATTTCGTCGCTTCTCTTTCTTGTGGTCGCTTCTTGCAATGGGAAGATTTGCCTGGTCTGCTGGTTGTTCAACCCCACGGCGGAGCCTTTCCGTTTCCCGACAGACCGGTTCTCCCACACAGCGATACAGCGGGTGACGAGCCCTTTGCTACACTGGTGCTAACGAAGGGAAGATGAGTGGAACAGATATGTTAATGCAGCTTTACCGTGTCAATTAGATTGCGATGTGCTTTCCCTTTGATTTCACGTTAACGCTTTGTGCAGAAATAGATTAGAATTTATTGGCTGTATCTGTTTGTAGAAAGGTTTTTTTGGCAATTTTGATCTTCATAGTATTAAAAAAAGCAAAACCAGCACAACCCCAACCTCTCTATGTATTGGTGTGCAACCTGTGCCAGCCACAGAGATGCTGTGAGTAGCAGTACTTGCCTCTGCTTTAGATAACTTCAGATAATGCCTTTGTAAACCTTGTTTGTCCAGTTTAATAGTAGGTTGTAGATAGCGATGCTGTGATACCAGCCCAGACCTCCAGTGTGTCTTCAGCACGTTGGGTTACTTTACTTGCACGTTAGGTGGGCTCGAAGCGAAGAAGGAAATGCTGTTTTGCAGGAGGTGGTCGTGTCTGCCATTGAGTTACACGAGAGAAATGTTCTTGTAGCTAGAACCTGCTGAGCAAACTCATCCTGCCGACGTTGGTGTGGCGATCTTTGGCAGTGCAGAGCTGATTGCGAGACTCTGACACATCTTTGAAGTGAAGGGATTTTACTGTTTCGTAACAGACGCACTTGCAGGACCGTGATATCCATTTCTCAGCCTCTGACCCATTTTAGCTCTCCCCCCCCTTTAAACTAATGCTCTGTTGGCTTCAGATCGCAGGTCATGGAAAGCTTGCTGCTGTTACATGCCGCAGAATGGTAAGATTTGATGTAAGCCTTGAAAGGCTTCCATTGTTTCAAAGGAAAATAAATTTTTAAATTGCCAACTGACTATTATGATGGCTGCTCATCTGCACCCGCTGCCCTGCAGGCTGTGGGAAGGATATGCACCAGTCTGGCAATGGGATGCGCTGCGGTCCGTCGCTGTGGTGGTGGATGTCTCAGGGCCAGTGTTCTGTTAATGTCGCCTTGAATTGCATCGTGAGAAAAGTGCTTAGAGTTGAAGCTGGTGCTGGGTGACAGTGCATCTGGGTAAGGCAAATGAGAGGCAGTGAGGTGATCTCAGAATGGCATTGATGTGATTAACTTGAGGTCAGGGGTTCACACTAGAGTCCCAGGCTTGGCTTTTTCCTGCCCATACCACTGGACATCTGCTAATTCTGGATAGAGGGGAGAATCCAGGAAACAGCTATCGTTGTAGCTCCTGCAGGAGAAAGGAAACTTTGTTAGGACAAGGACTCCTAGAAACTTCAACCATGGGCATAAAACATGGTATTACAGGTGAGAAGGAACACAGGATATTCACAGACCCCACTGCAGGTACCCCAGAGCTGACGTTTGAGGTGGGATCAGCATGCAAGACCCTGCTTTGACCCAGTTTGCTCTTGCCCGGCAATCCCATTTGCCCCAGCAACCCGCTAGGTGTGAGGAGGCAGGAGAAAGCCGAGCTCCAGCATCTTCTCCATGGGCAGTGTGCCCTGAGTTTTGGATGATGGCGGAATGGCAACAGGCAGAACTGCTGTGCTTTCAGCCTGCTGCTGGTGGGATGCGCTATAAGAGAGCAAAGCGCTGTTGGAGGGTGAGAGCTTGTGGCTGAACCCACTGTCTGTGTCCCTCCCACCACACGTGGTACCACACCTGCCTCTGCTTTCTCTGCATGTGGCCTCTTCCCTCCCGGGGTACAGCAGCAGTGCTCTGCCTTGCCTAAAGGGCTCTGTCTTGCTTTCCTGCCTGGTATTAAGTTGGGGTAAAGAGATTTTTAGTAGGATGCTCTCCAGGGAGCAAGTCTGCGGAGCAGCCCTCCGGGCCACAGACTGTAGTACCTAACGGGAACACAGAAGGAGGAGGGTGGTGGTGCTTTCCTGTAGCACTTCTGCTCTGGGCAGAGGCTCGTGCATCACCTGGCAATCCCAGAGTTACGTGGTTTTCCAGGGATGAGCTAGGAAGCAACTAGTGAGAGGGTGCCATGTCCAATGTGGAAAGGACTCTGTTTTGTCAGAGGTAGCCTAGTCCTCATCTTGTGGCACCTCTCTTGACAAGCTACTGCTTCTTTCACTGCATAGCTTTTTGTTTGCTTGCACAGAGCAGGTGAGACAGTTTATGGGAATCTTCTTTGCTATTCATCTTCAAGCTCCAATGAGGGTCAGCTCCTGGCTTAGTCTGCGGAGCTCCTTGCTGGAGGCAAACACTGAGGTCAAAATCTTGTTGATATTTTGAAAAGTGACTGCTGTATCTGCATAGTAATATTCAGAATTGATGTCTCTCCCTCACACTTTGATTTTAACCAACTTCCAAACTAGAGATTGTTTTGAGTCCTGAAGTGGGAGATGATACATTTTCTGTCTGTTTACTGTGGGATTCTCACTCCTTCCTCAGCTTCCTCCCCGCCTCGCAGGACTGATCTCACACCTGATGCGGTCTGGCAGTTCCTGCCTCCTCTGCCCTGTTTTCTACCTGGTTTCTCTGAGACCAGTGTCTGGGAGGAACCTGAGCAAGGGCATCACCGTCTGCGTGTTAAAGAGCCTTTTGTTTCCCAGCTCTCTGCTGGAGTACGGAGGTTTATGGGTTATCTCTAGAAAGCTGGGCTTGAAATACTTGACAGATGCCAGCTGCAAATGGTTGTAGATTCAAATGAGAGTGTCAGACGTGACAGCAGTTTAATTAAAATAGAAATACTCTGAGGGATTTTTTGTTCCCGCCACCCTTCCCCCTCTGTCTTCCCGCAGGAATGGGGCCAGGATTGCTCCTCGCTCCATGAAACCTCACTGCTGCTCCTAACAGCCTCTGCTTCACTGCTCTGCTCTGCGGTGGAGAAGGGGGAGAAAGGGGAGCTTGGTGCCATGGCTGGAGTGCTGCCGGGAGCTCAGTCCAGGTCCCCCGAGGCCCCCGTTTACCCGAGCTCATCTCCCCATCATGCTGCTCCCAGACTCTTCCCCACAGCGCTTTGCCCACGCTGCTTTGGAATGTCCCCAGCTACAAATTTGTCACCATCGCCTGCTTTCTGTGCCCGTTCAACCTCTGCATGAATGCCGATTGGGCTGGCCCAAAGTCCTCTTTCACAGGGGAAAGCGCCACAGCCGCAAACTTGCTGAAAAGGCACAGAGAGGGCTTCAAGGTCCTTTCAAGTTGTTCTTCCAAGAGCTGAAGGAAGCCTTGTTGCCAAACGAACAGGCACACAATTAAAAGGGCTGCTCCTCTGGGACAGCGGGATGCCAGTTATTCACCCTGTGTTCATGGGCTGTAAGGCAGAAGGATGAAAGAACAAAACGTTCCCTTACTATACCTCTATTCATCAGTACTTTGGTGGGTTGGAGACTGAGACTCATCCATAGTGGGTGAGTTGTCTGTTGCTTCTCTGAACAAAGGAGAGCAAAAAAGGAGGAAAGAGGAGAGAGGAAATGTTAAAGAAAAGAAGTGACACAGACATTGTTACGAGCTTATTAATCCAGTGGGGAAACAAGTTGATGAATCATCTTTAGAAAAAGTTAGTGACACAAAAAACATGTTGGGGAGAACTGTCAATCTTCTGAGTTGTGCCAGGAGGGCACAGCCTGCTCCTGCAGTGGGGGAGTTTGTGTTGTGCATCAAATGGCAAACTTTATCTGCTCCTACTGTATATATACATACACCTTGGGTGTTGTGCTCAGGCATGAAGTAAGTGCGGATTTGTCTCTAATTCTTTTTGCACTGCTTCTTGGTGCAGGGCCTAAGCTATAAATCTAGATAACTTCACTTTTACCAGCTGAGAATTTGGCTTGATGCATTTTTGCTGAGAGAGACAGGGTGCAGGACTTTTCTTGAATGGAAAACCAAGAAAAGTTGGGATTTTCCAAACAGATTTCTCAGCTGGCTGCTCACCAGTTTTACTTCCGGTCATCATGGAGATATTTAGAGGAATTAGGATTGGGATGGAGACTGAGATCTACGTCTAGACTCAAACCCTTAACAGTGGAAATTTCAGTGTACAGTGAAGATAGCTGCCATTTTGCCTATCTTGCAATCCCTTGACTTTTTATGAAATGGGACGTGGAAAATTCTCCTGTTCTAAAGCTGGAAGGACATGCAAAGACCATGTGAGGCTGGATGTCAAATCTGTGAATTTAAAATCCAAAGTAGGCCTAAAGGGGTTGTGGTTATGGTTCTCCTCGTCTCCGTTTTAACGTGCAGTCACGAGCAGTGCTGGAGTAAAACCTGAGGTCAAACTTGGTCATAGGTGACCAGAAGAAATTAAAGAGCGTGAGGTTTTCCACTGGCTGCACAGTGAAATGTTTGCAAAGTTACTGGTCCCAGTTCACAACTTGGGGGATACCTGTTTTCCTGCTCTAGGCCTTACAGTATTTTGAGGACTGTAGTCTGAAACTTTCTAGCTGATCTCACAAACTCAATTTAGATGCAAAAATCTGGGACGTACTGAGTTAGACGGGATCTGGAAATGATCTTTATTTCATGTGGCAGGACAGAATTACAGGAGATTGCTAAAGAATGCTCATGGGAGCTTGCAAAAAGCTTTTTGTTTACTCCTTTAACTCCCTGCCTCACAAAGAGGTGCCAAAGAACCCAATTACTATATTTACATGAGTAATGGCTACCTGCATGTAATGACTCACTCACGCTTTGGCGAAGCACATTAAGTTAGTGGTAGCTGAAAAAAGATGCACTTAATAGTCATTAAGACACATTGCTAGGGAAAACCTAGCAGAAAAATGTGGCTTCTGCACACACAAATGTGGTAGACACCTAACCTTGCCTTAACAACAAAGATCTCCTTGGTCTGGATAGCCAGTGTGATGGTTGCTAAAAAAAAAAGGTTAAGCTATTTCAACATATGGGAAATTGGAGGAAGGAGACTGTCCAAGCAGGAAGAACCTGCAAGGCTTTTTTCCCTGTGGATCCAGCACTGCTTGGAGCAGTGCTGCTGGGTGCAGATGGCACTGCCATGTCTTGGTCAGCCTAAACTAGAGGTGGGAGGCTCGAAATGCTCTGCGCAGGTGTCGGCTATGGAGCACCTGGAAAACGTTCCCCATACCTGTGCTCTCCCTTTGCTTCTGTATGTGGAGGTTTTTCTCACCAGCACAGAGCGAGGTGAATTCTCTAACCCGATCCCACAGACACTCACCCAGTCTGCCATGTGAGAATGTGGTGGGGACTGCCCGGCGGCGTGGCTGCTAGTTCACTCGACGGTGTTGAACTCCTCTGGCTGTGAGGTAAGGCAGCTGAAAAACAACCAAAGGGTGGAGAAAAATAACTGGTGAGCTGAGGGCGCAAGGGTCAGGGTGGTTCAGAAGCATCAGCTGGTCAGACCAGCAGAAACATGTCCTGCTGTGAATAAACACAGCCTGGGAGTCAGACCTCAACCTGTTCCTGGATGGCTGCGCCTGAACGTGGCGTGGGAGCAGCCTGCTGCTGACGCTGCTGCATGCCACGGGCCGGATCCATTCTCAGCTCCGCAGTAATGCTTTGTTTCAGCCCGGCTTCCAGCTGAATGTAACAACTCGGATTCTCCTGAGCCTGCCTGGGAAACACCGCACATCTCCCATCATGAAAGCTAATTGATTTTGCTGCTGCCTGCACTGGCAGGGCCTGGCTGCACATCTCCACGGGACCTGAACTGGAGGAGCTCAGCCCATCAGGTTCAGCCTCCTGCTTCTGGGGGTGGTGGGAGATGCTCTGTGTCCCTAGGAGCCAGGGCTGGCAGTGGCGAGAGCCTGGACAAGTACACTGCTTCAGGTGCAAAGGAGGAAGACAGCTCTGAACATTTCAAAAGCCAAAACTACCTTTCATTGTGCATCTGTAATAAACTGAAGTTGGGCTTTGCTGACTCTACTACTATGGGACCAGAGGAAGACTTATCTTGCATCAATGAAGACAGAAGCAAACTGAACTGAAAATGTACCACTGGCAGGTGAGGGTTTAGCTAAGAAATCCAGCTGACTGATCTTTCCTCCTCCCCAAGTCCAAACAGAGTTGACCCTCCAAATTTAATATATGCCTAGAAGTATGATCCTCTTTGAAGGACAGCATGAAGTCCAGTAGACCTACTGGCTAGTGCTAATCAGCTAAAACGATGGATGTTTCTACCTGATATCCCCTTCTGTGCTTTTAAATTCTTTAGCTGCTGCCAAATGACACTTGAAGAGAAAAACAAATTTTACCCTGCTCCTTGGAGCCAGCAGCCTCCAAGGTCAGTATCCTCCCCCAACTGTAACTGGGAGCCAACTCTGAACGCAAAACCAATCTAGGCTGCCAAGTGGTCATGACAAGCTGTGACTACTGAGCACACTTACCACTGTGCTGCCCAGATATCACATTTAGATGTAAAGACCCAGCTGGGTGGGGGAACGGACTGATTGACAGCAGTTTTTATGTGCTCTTCTTCCACCCCCATAATTTTTCTTTGTAGATTACCTAATTGAACTGGTACAGCTTCCAAAGCTAAGCAAGGCAAACCTTTCCAGAGTTCAAGCATTTTGTGTTGCTGGGTGAAACAGAAATGCCAATTAATCAAAGGAGGGAAACCAGATTTTTCATATGCAGGACAGTTCCAGCAGTTACTTGATTGTGTATTGGTCCACATCTGGGCCTTCTATGAGTGTTGGCACATGTAAATCAGCCTCTTCTTGGGCAGCTCGTAGTGGCCCACAAGGAGCCTGGTGTTAAACTGGCTCTCCGACTCCACGCTGGGGTCAGCAGCAAGTACAAAGCCCCACTGGTGTCAGGGTGGTGATCACTGTGGACCAGGCGTGATGCTGGGATGTCAGAAGCCCAACAGCCAGCACGGGTGGATGATGCACTGGTCTGCTCAGGGAGGCCGTGGGGGCCTGCAGAAAGTGAGGCTGGAGTAATGGTGTCTCCCACACCAAGGCTGAGGCATGTGGAAAGGTGAGGATGGGCACAGTGCAAAGTGACTAACTAGCAATCCTGTCCACATGGGGCTGGATTCAGGTTTTTAGCAAGTCCTTGATCTATCCAAACTGGCTTAGCCAGTGGTGACTGATGGCCAGTAAATATTTAACCTTGGACTGTTTTATAACACATAGTGGCCTTCTCAGTTTAATGAAATCGACTGTTTTCTTACCATTTAATATTAACAGCACAGAGGAGTGCAAAGCTCTGTACATAACCGAGAGGCACAATATTGCACAAATTTAAGCGCTGTGAATTTCAGGATATTATCAGAACAGCTACTGGAGCTGCATGGGAAAACCAAGTCTCAGCAGTGCACAAAGATGTCATCGCTCAAACATTTTCACAGGGGGTGGAGGGGCTGTGATGCTCCCCACTTAACCTTTCTCATGCTTTTGGTGTTTCACCACAGACACACATTCTTCTAGTCTGTGCTGAGTCCCCCCTTGCTTCATCGCTCCCCTCACTGTGATTACTAAGAGCGACCACCCCAATCCCCACGGTTTCTCCACGTTCAGCCCCTAGTGCTATCACCCAAACCCCTACTGCACCCTGAGGAAAGACCTGGCAACAACAGGGCCTCGGTCCCTCCCTGTCTTTTGAGCCCATCATTACAAAATGATGATTTCCATGGAAAAAATTCTCACCCGATGAGTGTTTTAGAAAAGGCTTGTCCCCCAGTGTTATGCCTACAGGCTTGGTGAGCAGCATATCAAGGCCAGATAACGTGCCACGGTCTGGCGTTGCTCTCCAGATGGGGTGTAATGCCTGGCACTAATCTGGGCTGCATGAAGGCCCCCGTCCCTCCCGCCCCTTTGCCTGGGCCTGGCTCTCACCTGATGTTGCTTTACACATCTGAGGCATTCTCGTGACCCGGCTGTGCGCCACAAAGGTGCTTTGCGAAGATGTGCTGTACTGGGAGCTGCTGTCCGAGGAAGTGGAGCTTGTGTGCGAGAGGCGGCTGTGCTCCTTGTGGGAGGCTGTGGACCGCTGGTACCAGAGCCGCAGCTCGTCCGACACGGCAGTCCTACCCGAGCCTTTCTCATGGCCCTCCCTGCCCAGAGATGGAGTCCTTATGATTTGGGAGCGGGAGGGGGTGAGCCTGACGGAGTCCACTTCATCCCCATGCCAGTTCTCCTTAAACATCCCCCCCGCTGTGTACGAGTTGGAGGTTTTGAATTGTGCTTTCACGCTGTAGTGTCCCTCCTGGTCGTTCTCCAGGCTCCGCACCACCACGGGTGTGGAGCTGCCCTCAATGTACAGAGGATACTCTTTGATCCTGTACTGGGAGGAGGGTTGGCTCTGGCTGTGCAGGTAGACGCGGTGGTGTCCTGTCCCGTTCCTTGCAGCCAGGTTGGGCATGCTCCCTGAATTGGAAGAGACCAGGTTGCCCGCCGATTTGTGCCTTTGCCTCTGCCGCTCTCTGGCTTTTGATGGGGAGTCCTCTGCCAGGGTGGAGTAGTTGGGGTTCATCTGAGCAGGGTAGTAGTGCTCAGAGCTGGAATGGCTGGTGCAGGAAGAGCAGTCGTCCATGGGGTCAGAGCCGTTACTACTACGAGTCCTTGGGGTGTAGAAATCAGGGCTCCCTGTCTCATTTTCTGAGCCAAGGAGCTTGCCTTGCGACTCCAAACTGGAGCTCCGGTGTCTAAAGTGCTGAGCTAAGCTGTGCAGTCTGGTTGGGCTGATGTCTACTGACCTGCAGGTACCAGAGAAAAAATCCAGGCTCGTAAGTCAACAGGACGAAGCACTCCCCATCCCCTTCTGCACACAAGGACAGCTTCACAGGCAAGGGACTGTAAGGGCACTGAAAACCTGGACCCCTCCAGCACTGCACTGAGCTTCTGGCTGCAAAGCAACCTGCTCCCTGCTGCAGGGTTTGGGGCAATTAGGTCCTATTCCTGTTCCTCTCCCGTCTCCTTGGTGGTGGCATTCAGTCTGCAGCACTACGTGGGACATAAACCCTTGCCCAGCCCAATTCCTCTGTGGCTTGCCACCCTGGGAAAGACCCCGGGGACCTCAAGCCCCGGCTTTGCTGCTGCAGCCCCATGGCAGAGCTGTCTGCATCAGCACCATCCCTCTGCTACCAGGTTCACCTTGCTCCAGCTCTGCAAATTCCAAGACCTTAAGCCTCAAAGGTGGTGGGATTCCCTTGCAAGTGGCCTGTGAATGCCCTGCACAGGTACAATTCATCTGGTGTGAGACAGACAGACAGAATGCCCATACTTAGCCCTGAATGCAGTGATTTGTCCATTGGCTTTTGAAAAAGTTAACTCTGTGAAGCGGCTAGGTTTTACCAGGGCCCAGCCGTGGGTAGCACGTGTAAGACTGTCAGAGGGTGAGAGCCCTCCAGGCAACCACCCCGAATTGCAAGTTTACAAGGCTCAATTCACAGCCAAGTCTGGGTGGTCTCTATTCACCCTGGCTGTTTGGAGAGCTTCAGCCATCCGTTCAAGGAGCCGGAACACCCTGCCATGAATCACACACCCGCATGATGCATGGCCAAGGCCAGGGCACGCAGCTCATGAATGAGCCACAGACTGAGCAATGGTTGTTTCAAACACCCAAATGGCCCCTACGCGGTCAAGGCCACTTCTCAAGCCCTGTGCCAGGCTCGTTTCTCACGCAGCTTGGCTCCAGTGTTAACAAATTTTGCAATCTTGAAAGGTACTTCCAGCCAAAAACTTGTAACAAACTTAACCCAGGGTCTTAATGCCTTGTATCGTCTCTGCCCGAGTTGGATGTGTTGGCCTTACTCTTGATTTATGCCACGCTAAATGATGTTAGCACTACCCCTTAGGGCAGGACACGTAACAGCACACAGCTTGGCTTGGCTCTGCTTCCCGCAGTGTCCATGGAGTTTGCCACAAGAGCAAAAGAGCAATGATGAAGCTGAACAATTTGTAGAAATCCTGCTGACAATTGGACTCAAATTGGGCCACGTGCATCAAATCACCTCACTTACACACTTCATCTCTTTCCTCTGCCAGCCCTGGGCTTATTCCACTGACACCTGGATCCTCAGATGGGTTGCTTTATACAGGCTCTCTCTCCACATATGATCACCCATATGCAAACATTTGATCTGTGAGAGAGGATTAACACTACCCAACATTTTGTATCAGACAGGAAACAACATGTTCTCTCCAGCTGGATCCATGGAGGAATTTACTGCAGAATTAAGCTGTGGCACCACATGCCTTTTAAAAGTGCAATGGGATTTGTAGTGCCTATAAACAGCCCCTGAGATGAAAGGTCCCAGTGGAAGAAAAGCTTGCTTACTCTGAGGGAGAGGTAAGGGGAAAGATCATGTTTATCTGAAGTGACTTCAGAATCCCAGTTCAGGAGAGATTCCCTACTGGCAACAGTACACGAGCCTCTGATGTGAATAGGACTGGTTTGTATCCTTTCCTGAACTGGGAATTAATTCATACACTGGGGGAAGGATAAAGCAAAAAATATTTATTAAAGGGCAAGCAAGGTGAGAGACCAGAGCTGGGAAGACTTACCGCGTGGAGTGGACGTAGTGTGGACTGCGTACCCGTAGATCTGGTGTTGATGGCATGCTGGACTGGGAGTTCCAGTGGGGAAGGCTCCGGATGGGGCTGTTTTGCAGTGAGCTGCTCCCTCCTGCCTCAGCACAGCTCCCGGTGCTGGGGAACCGCTTGTGACTGCTGCAGAGCAAACACCGGGCTTCAGTTCCTGGGCAGGTATTTGGGGAAGGGGCTCTCACACCTCTTTCCAGATCTCAGGCATGTGCCTGTGATCTTGCGGGGGTGAGCGGGAGTTGGGTCAGCTGCTGCTCTGAGCTGCGTCCCAGAGCCTGTGCTTCTGCAGTAGCAGGAGGTCAAGGCCAAGCCCTGTCAAAGACACCATCCCTCTTTTCTAAATGTTTTTTAAAATAACATAGAATTGTCTAGGTTGGGAGGGATCTTTAAGATCTTGCACTTGAAAGTGCAACTATTGAGATACCAAGCAGCAGTCATGTGGCTGCAGCCTGTTTTTATGATATGCCTATTGGCCAAAACACCTAAACCACCCTTTTGGTAAGGGACAACTTTGTAAATTTTGAAAGGGCTCACACTCATCCCTCCTGAAAGCAGAGGATATCTCTGTGATGGTGCTTCAAGATAGCTGGCTCACCTGGAATGACTGTGTGAGGAGCGTTTCTTGACCTTCTCATAGGGTTCATCCAAGGATGACTCGCTCCACATCTTGGGTTTGATGGGGGACTTGTCATAGTCATTGCGGTGGTAATGCATTTGGCGGAGGCCTTCCAGCGACTGTGGAGGAGGAGGCCTGTTGTGCAAGGGTGGCCGGGGAGGGAGTCCTTTGTGTGGGGACTGGAGAGGGGATATTGTGCTGGTGACCTGAGAATCCTCTGTGAAGAGAAGAAGAGAGAGAGGTGATGACTGTGTCATACTTCCAGCGGCAGCACAACCCTGGGGGATGCCATCACACCTCCAGAGCCTGCTTCCTTACCCTGCTTGCCCTGGTTGCATTCAGGAGCAACCTGAAGACCCGACTTTCAGAAGTGCACCAGGTGACATTCCCATTTTGGGAGGGAATGGCCAGCAAGAGCATGTGATGCATTAAAACAATGGAAACCTTAAGAGAAAATAAGGGGGCATCCTGGGACTGTCTTTTGAAAGAATTCAGAGCAGTAACCATGGCAATACTCACTGCTCCAGGCCTGGTGTCTGACTATAAGGTGGAGTCAGGGCAAGTGTTTTTGGTACAGGGATGTTTGAGTGGATTATTACACAGAACAGTTCCTCCACTGTGAGTGTCATTCAGGAGTTCACTCATCCCTCCCTGTTTTCTTCCTGCCCTCTAAAACATACAGTAGCCAACATACCATCCTCGAGAACAAGGGCATCCGAGAGGGAACTGTCTTCACTGGCAATGTTTCCTTCTGAGGGGAAGAAAATATAAAGATGGTCAGATGGTCCAAGAATTGCAGTGACCGAGTGCTGAACTGCACCGTGATCTTTGTCCACTGAGTCTTAGCCTCAAGCAGTCACCCACATCTTCCTCCTCATGTAGCCGAGAGGCAAGATTCCTATAAACAACTGACTCAGCCTACTCTCAGTCTCGGAGGGCAGAGCTGCAGGCCAGGTGTCACACTAGCAGGCAGCCTTTCAAGGAGCTGCTAAGTCTTTTCAGTTAATGGGGATTAAGACTGAGTCACAATGGAGAGTTGAGATCCCCAGAGGATGCAAAATGGCATGGTGCCATTAGCAAGATTTATATCTCGGGCCTTAAGGACTCTGGGTTTGATCTCTGCCTTCTGAAAATGACCATCCTGTTGCTAACTAAAGGCCCACACTAGGTACCAGTTTTGTGTAATTCAGGGAAACACTTTCTGAGCATCCTGTATAGCAGCAGAAGCTCTGACATCCTTGGTGTGTACATGTCTGAGCTGCCTCCCCCCTCCTGAGTCCTCACGGCTGTCTGTTATCCCTGACTGCGGTGCAACTTGGTACCCAGGTCACAAATACATCAGCTCTAATCTCAGTTCCTGCTACAAAGGCACAGAGAAAAGCTCTGCAAGTCAAAGGGAAAGGGCAAAATCAGCAAGGGAGAAAGAACCACAGCAGAAAGTTAATGGATTTCATGAAAAACCAATCAACAACCCAGTAAACCATAAAGTGCTCTGAGAATTACATTGAAAAAAAAAAAGAAAAAGAAAAAAAGCGTTTGAACACAGCAATGACACTGCTACCACTTTGATTTTACAGATGCCTTTCAGCTAGAGAGTTCACCCCAATCTGCTAACATTAATTACATTTGTACAGCACCACTCTGGAGGAGACGTTAACAGAGCGATTTTATAGGTGAACAAAGGAGTCACAGCCTGCTTTCCTGACATGCTTATAATCTACAGCGTGACACTGCTTCTTGTGCTGTGAACCAGCACATCCCTAATGCATGGCATGCAGCCCAGACACCCATTTGACAGCATGCTAGTATGGGAGAGGACAGCCTCCGTGGAGTCCTCCAGGCAGGAGAGGGAAGAGGAGGGAGGGAAAATCTGTGCCTCAAGCCATGAGTTCAAGGCAAGAATTTTGTTCCTTGGCCTCCACAGACCCTTCAGCAATGCCATGGGTGCTGAGCCCCACTTACCATCTATGATCAGGGAGGCTCTCTGGGTTGGCTTCTTTCCAGATTTGATGCGATACTCATTGATGGCGTTTTCGATCTCCTGCAGTTTCTTCAGTGCGTTCAGGTAGGATGTCTTCCTCTGTTTCTTCAGCTTTTTGCTGACGTTCGGGTCACTTGCCAGGCGCCGGGCAGCCTCTGTGATCTGGGACTGAATGGCAAACTCCCTCTCCAGGCGCTCCAGCTCTGCCTCCTGGGGAAAGGCAAGTGGATTCTGGCTACCACCAAACTCTCCTGATGCAGCTACGGGGAAGCTCTCCCTGAACTTGTCCAGTGGCCTCCAACCAAGGCTCTCCATCAGCAAAACATCCACAATCATGCTGCTTCCCTTATCTCAGGGCCTCCCTGAGCACATCCATCTCACCTTCATCTGGTCACATGAGTGCCTGGGTGATGGTGGAAGGGACAACCCATACAAAGAGGACATGTATGCTCCAGCCGTAACCTTGCTGTGCTATTTGGCTTTTCATGCAGTTCAATATGGCCTAGTTCAATGGTGCTCTACTGCTGACACATTTATCCTTTTACACCCATCCACGGGTAATACCTGCCACCCACCCGCTCCTTCTCCCCATTTCCTATCTCCATATTTGAGCCCCGTTTGATATCAGTGCTATGTACTGACGCAAAGCTACAGCTTTAACTTTCTTGACAGGTTTGCTTGGCACCCACGAAACTCTTTTGGGTAAAAAAGCAAAAGATGGGTTAATTCCTCCCCCTGGTGTATGGCTGTCAAAGTCCAGAATGAACTGAAGTAATTATGGGCTGCTGCAACTGATTGCACCAGAAAATTGTCTCCTCGAGTTACAAGCCACGAGGTTGATTTCAGAGCGAGCAGTGTATAACAGCAAGCTTTCTGTGTGCCAAAAACGACTAGTGTCTCCAACATCAGTCCTTGCAGGGTCTCAGCAGAGTTTTTAACTGCAATCAGGTGTACCCTGGAAGCTAACTACTGATTTTTAGTTATCCTCCAAAGTCAAGGGATTTAGGCCAATTTATGTCAACACAGAAGCTGATATAGAGCTTCCTGGTCTGCACTGGGACCCCAAGCTGTGAGCTTCAAAGGTACTTGCTAATCTGCAATGGATCTGGCTACCCTCCCCAGCTTGATGGAGTTTTTGGTGTTGGTCTGCTAGAAAGGGGAAAATAGTACATCATTGCAAATTAGGAGAAAAATGCCAAGCTTTTTTACTTCTAGTGAATGGTGGGGGTTCAGATCACAACCACTGACAGCTACATATTCATGGAGATCCCCATTACGCAAATTCAAATTCTTTCTCTCCGTTTAGCAGTGGCGTATGTGGCAAGAGCTAATGCTGTGGGAATTAATCAGACTGAAATTGCTCTCTGAAGTTTTTATTCTGGGCTTCCGGCTTAAAAAAAATCCCTTTGCTGTCAGCGGTGAGTCAGCATTGCCTTAAATCTATAGTTATCATTTCCCTCAATTTACTGAAGACTGAACCCACCTCCATCCTTTTAACAGATCACTTTTTGCTTTGAAAAGTTTAAAAGCTCTATCAGCGCCAAACTTATTAAAAGTGAATTTGACACCATGGAGTCTTAAGGCCTAGAACCTGGTTCACTGCCTTCTGGCAAATATTCCCAGAGTCAGGAATTACGGACCAGGTAGCGGCGATCACCAAAAAATACAATAGGACCCTTCTCTGCAAGTCTTGCTCTGACAAAGCTCTTACTAAAGGTACAGAGAGTTTGATGTGAGCTGTCATTTCAAACCTTCACAGATTCAGTTCTAAATCATTCAGTATATCTTAGAAAAAACATATTCATTTTCCTTCTGGCCATAACTGTCTATTTTCTTCCAGTGAGGCCACTATAAATAAGGCCTCAGAAAATGAGGAATATCATCTGCCTTCAGATGGAAGTGCCTTTTTTCAGGTCTGTGTCACAGTTGGTAATATCAGTCTTCGATTTACGTGACTGAGGGAATATTTCACCTTTTGTTTTAAATTGAGTTTCTAGTGTTTGCACTTGCTGAAAAGTGCAGGAAAATCATTGCTGGCCTCTCTAAACGCTCTCAAACTGGCAGCCAAATAAACACAGCTCAACATCATTCTTCAAGAACAGAAAGTTATGGTTTTCAACACAGTCTTAAAGTTTGACAGATGAAAAGGGAGGTAGAGGAAAGCTGAGTCAGCGTGTTTGGATTGCTGATGCCAAAAGGCAGAGTGCCTGCAATGAGGAGGAGCTGCTTTACCTTCATGCTCTCCCCATCTAACCCTGCCACCGGAGTATGGAGATTCCTCACCCGCTGGCTCCAAAAGCTGCCTTGTAGCAGTAAGATCTGGGGAAGCTGGAGATCAGGTTATAACTGAGCAGCCAACAGACTGCAGGGGTTTTAGGAGTAACTCAGCTAAGCCGTGCTTCCCTTTGAAAAGCTTAATTAAATGTGCTAGTTCATGAATATTTGACTTCGATGGAATTCCTCTCCCAGGCTCCATTGAGAACAAAACTAAAGAGCTCCAGCTGTTTATTTTTTCAGCTGAAGGAAAATGCCAACAAAACGACAAACAGTTAATTCCCTGGCTGAAGCGAGCCTTAAACCGCACAGTCACACCAGCTTCAGTCTCTCCTCTTACAAAAATAAAAAGGAAACTCAAGACTGGAATATACACAAGTGTCTTGAGACAAATGTGTCTCTGCAGACAATAGCTTTTCTGTGAATCCGGTCCCGCCTTACAGCTGCTGCAGGCCTGTTTTCACAGCCACGGTTCAGGGCACTGACCCAGCACATTGTGGGAGCAAGGGAAGAGAACAAACACTCCCTGGCAAACTTAGAAAAACATAATTCCAGCTGCCCATAGGTAGGGACGAAGGCTCTTTTGTTTAAGGACTGGGGAGCAAAATGCTTTCATCTTGCTATTGCAAGGCTAAGATGGATAATAGTGATGCTTTTCTCCCTGTTAGAGGAGATCTGAATTCGGATTGCTACTGAAGCAGAAAGCAAGTGGCTGTTTGCAATAATGACACAGGGCAGCAGCACGGGGCTCAGATGGCTCAAGGGGCTCCTGATGTGGTCCCTACTCGCACAAGTCACTGCACTTAGTCACTGGCGTGCTTCGACTGTCACGGTCAGGTTGGTCACCCAGGCTCCTTCTGTTACCTCTAGCAAAGCCAGGGCTGAACCCTGAGGGTTTAACCTTTACTCTGAGCCTGAACTAAGAGCACCAACTCTGTTGCTGCTTCCTGGTTCTGATGGATATTAAAAAATAGGCACTGTGACCAACTACAGTAATTTAAAGCAAAACCAACTGTAGGATTGATGGTTCCTATGTGATGCACACCGGACATCTTAAAGACCCGAGGTGGGGACACAGGACTGGAAGGCACAGCCTCACCTCTCCCTTGGGCAGGATTTTCTGCTCATCCAGTTTAAAGGCAGTTCCTATTCTTCTCCTTACAATAGGCGGCTCCTCCCCAGGATCTAGGGGGTATTCTCGTGGCAGCTTTCCTGTGAGCTCCTGTAAGCAGAAAATGCCGTTAGTGATCTGGGAAACCCCACAGCAGAGCAAAGCACAACACCGCTCTTGAACTGTGGCCGTAAAATGACAAGCTTTCATTAATACCATATCCAGTTCAACCAGCTGATAAGCCCAGGAGAGCACCCAGCCCTGCAAACTCACCCAGGACCTGACACTGAGGGTGGGGAACTTTTCTTTAACCTGTGTATGAATTCAGATTTTTGGGGCCTGCCCAAGGTAGGTCTGTAGGTGGTGCCCATCCCTGGGGCGTTGGGGCCTGAGGCTGAGCAGACTGCAGCACACATGCTTTCATCTCTGCTGCAGGGTGAGCAGGAAAGAAGAGGTTCTATCTGCTGAGCTGCTTCTGAGAGGGGGGTGTGTGAGAAGATCCAAAAGCCTTCATGCAGGATGCAGGTCTGCTGAGTCAGAAAGCCCCACTGGCAACAGCCGTGCAGGTTACGACCCACACAGAAAAACATTCCCACCTGATTCATGATGTGTCTGAGAGGAATGCAGTGAAAATGGTCACTAGAAGCAGTGCCTGGTACCTCATTACCTGTCTGATAACAGTTCATGTATTAGAACCCCTTCCAAGCCCCGGTGATGTCATGGGCAGCTTTGGAGCAATATTAGATGAGGCTTTGTCAGACTAATGGGGTTATTTGCAAAGATATGTTCAAAATCTGAAGCAAACCCCACAGAACTGAGGGATATCTGGAACACAGGAAGCAGCGAGAGCCACTACTGATGTGAATGCTGTGGTTTTTTTCCCCTGGACTACACAATACAGCCACACATATCTGAATCGAAGGCATTCAAATGCCTACAGAAAAAGGCAGGAGCCTCACTACGAGCACAGCCCGACTCCTTGTACTCCAAAGTCTCCCCGCGAAGGACAAAAGGCTTTTGTGTTCTTTAGCATCAGCCTTGAGAGGATCCAGCTGGCAGAGTAACCTAAATCATCTGAATCCCAAAGAACAGCAGCTGACCTTAATGTGAGTGCGCAGCTCAGGCCCCTGCCTGCCCTGGCCTCTCCCCCACTCCCTAATGGGGTTTTCCTTTCTGCTCTTTTCAGGTCACTAGGAAACAAGGACACGGCCTTTTCAAATCTTTCCTTTAAGCAGCTCCCAGCAAAATGGGTTTGCAGCACAGCTCTGTGCTGACGTGCTCAACCCGCTTTTGCGAGAGGCACTGTTGCAATGTCTCATGAATCCCATTCCGCATTGCTCCTCCAGCCTCATGGGGTTATTTCAGCTTTTCTTCTGTAATGCATTCTTTCTAGTGCAATGTGGCTCTAAGCACTGCGTGAAGACACAGATTCCTGTATCCTTTCCCAAGGGAAACAAGGATATTTTCTTTATAACCCCGAACTTAATATGAAGCAGGGCAGCGG